CGCACTTACAGGCAGGACATTCTGATGGTGGTGGCCATGTCCGGGGGGACCCTACATGGACAGAAGGAAGGCAGGAATGGTGAGAGGAGCCAGGGATCCTTCTGCTGTCCAGAGAGACCTCCTCCCCAGCCCCCAAACCCCCACCCTAAGGGGAAGGCCGTCGCCCATGAGCAGGTACTTACTGGGTGTGGCGGAAAACCCCTAGGTTGCTGTGGGCACAGAGGGAGAAGGAGGTGATGAGGGGGACATCAAACTAGGGCCTGGAGGGTGTCAAGGATGCCTGCCCCGGGGCAGCCCACCACCACCGCCTGAGAGAACTCTGCGGTCAAAGATGGTTCATTGATGAAGACGGACTTCCTGTGTTTAGGGATCTCCAGGGCACAGTGAATCTCACTCCTTCCCTTTAGGACAAGCCTGGTACATTCTATTCTCGTACCCTCCCCTATCATGGCTTCCTGCTGTCTCAGGATCCTCATGTGCCCCCTCCTCCCCCCTCAACCCAGAAACTGCGTGATAAAGTGTACACTCCTCAGAACATCCCCCCAGGCCCCCACGATACCCCTGCTCACCTTATCTCTAACTACGATTTGCCCCTCACTCCACGTGCCCACCACTGGGGCAACTAGGAGTCCTTGGACCCAGCCGAGATCCTATCCCTCCCTGTCTGTCTCAGGCTCTCTTAGTCTGTGTGTGAGTCTCTCTCTCTGTTTCTCAGTCTCTGTCTCTCCCTGTCTCTATCTCTGACTCTGTTTCTCTCTCTCATCCACACCTTCTCACAGGTAGTTCCCTCTGCCAGGAACACCCTTCCCTTCCTTAGATAACTTATATTCACTCTCCTTCTCTCTGTCTCCTCCTCTTCCTAATGAACTCCTTTCTGCCTCGACTTCCATGTTAAGTCAGCTATTCTGAAGGCCCTTTGAAAATAGCTTTATTGGGGCTGGCCCGGTGGCATAATGGTTAAGTTCATGCACTCTGCTTCAGCGGCCCTGGGTTTTGCGAGTTGGGATCCCGGGAGTGGACCTACACACTGCTCATCAAGCCACGCTGTGGCAGCGTCCCACATACAAAATAGAGGAAGATGGGCACAGATGTTAGCTCAGGGCCAATCTTCCTCAGAAAAAAAAAAAAAAGTATTGATGAAGCACGATAGGAAAACGAACACCCGTAGGCCCGTGGCCGCCTCACGGATGAAGACATTCCCGATGTTTCCCATGCCTGCGTTTGATCAGCTCTGTGACCTTGGGCAGGTTACGTAAGCTCTCTGTGTCTCAGTTTCCACATCTGTAAAAGGAGGCTGCTGATTGTCAGGGACTTTCCCTGTGGAGGCATGGGGGGCTTACAAGTTGGGCGTGTGGAGCCCTCTGCTAAAGGACGTGTCAGGAGTCTGGGGTTTGGGCTTCTCCAAATAGCGCTGTTCTGGGTACCCAGTGTGTGTATTTTGGTGCCCATTCATTCACTGTGGACCTGGGAGTGGGGTGTGTAGGGTGCCGGGCGCATGTCTGTTCAGCTTTCACAGACGCTGCCCAGTCATCTCCCACAGGATGGGAGTGTCAGCCAGGCCACAGTCCCACCACCCATTGGCACTGTGTGCCTTCTCGTTGGAGCTCTGCTGGCGGGTGTGTGGCTGTGGCATCACATCACTGTGATGTGATGAGTTTCCCAGGGGACTAACAATGTTGGGCAACTTCTCTTGAACTTTACTATTCCTGTGTTTTTTCGATTCTCCTTATCTTTACTTCCTGACTCAGCTTACACACCTCCTCCTCCTCCAGGAAGCCCTCCTCCCCCAACCTCCCACATGTCTCCCAGCCTGGCCCTGACTGCTCGTGGCCAACACCATCTAGTGACATGTCTGTCTTGCCAGTGGACTGTCTTGGTTGCCTCTGGGTCCACGGCCTTACCCAGCAAAGGGACTGGCACAGAGCAGGAGCTCAGGAACTAAATGACTATGGGAATGCACTAAGGAAGGGGGCAAGCCAAGAAGAGAGGGAGACCCCACACACCTGGTGTGGCGGGGGCTGGCCTCCGATGAAGTTGATTGATTGAAGCTGCACATCCCCATCCACTTGCAGGTGGGTGACCATCTGGAGGGGGAGCCGGTGCCTGAACTCATAGAAGGGACTTCCATTTACCACCACCTGGAGGGCAGGCAGGGGTGAGGTCAGAGTCGGCACTCACAGCCTTGGGAAAGCAGAAACAGGAAGCAGGGAACAGGGATCTTTTTAACATGGGGTCAAAAGTCTTGGGGGCGAGCTTGGATGACCTCAGACTCAGGAACCTTGGAGACCACAGGTCAGAAGTCAAGCCGGGGTCAAAAGTCAGCTCCCAGAACCGTGGATGGGAGATGATAGAGAATTTCATCTGGGGTTGGAGATCAGAAGAGAATCGAGTCTGAGTCCAGGTCTGGGCATCAAATGAGTTGGGTCGGAGGTCTAGCTCTGACATGTCTTGGCTGTGCGACCTCAGGGAAGTCACATCACCTCTCTGAGCCTTTGTTTCCTCATCTGTAAAATGCGGGCTCGCTCTGGGGTTGTTGGGAAGAGGAAAACCCAGCAAGGCGTGTCAGAGGCATTGTGGAAAGCCTGGGGAGGGCCCTGCCTTGGGATCACAGCTCAGAGGACTTGAGGTCATCACGGTTCTAGTTAGAGTGGACACGGGGCTGAGAACCAGATCCGCAGGACTGAGTGCTCCCCATGTGCTAGTACTTTCCATGGTAAGATCAACGTGGTGATTCTCTCAGCAGCTCCATGAGGCAGGACAAAGGATTGTCCCTGCAGTTCAAGAAAGTGGAGGCTCCAGGCGGTAGAGTGACCAGCTCAAGGTCACAAATGGGGGCGTGGCAAAGCCCAGATTCCATGTCCAACCTCAAACCATGATGTCAACCTCAGTGATGAGCTTAGAAACGTGGTGCCCATCTGACCGGGCAAGAGAAACAATAGAAAAAATAAACAAATGGGACTACATCAAACTAAAAAGCTTCTGCACAGCAAAGGAAACCATCAACAAAAC